TCGTGATTTTGATAGTGGAAAGGCCTTTGTAAGATTTCTCCTGTTTTGGCTGTAGAGCAGAGTCTAGTTTCTAACCCCCCTGGTCTTCTCCTCAAGCTGTTCATCTCTTTTTCTTGCTTTTACTTCTTATCCGTGATCAGAACTCTCATAATATACCTGTGGATCATTTTGGGAGGTAAGAAAGAAATTGCTAGCAGGAAGCATAACAAAACCCAGCTAGATCTCAAATTCCTACAGAGGGAGGAGTCTCACATGGAAGACAGGAGGAAGAGGGAACCTTCCTCCTGCTATCCATACCTACAGAGTGCTCCCAGAAGGCAAGGAATTCTGCTGGCCAGTTTTAGGAGGAAGTTGAGATTAGCCTCACCCCCACACTCATAGATTCTAAACCAGAAGGAACCATTATGGTCATCTAGTCTAAACTCCTCCATAACACAGACTACAGAATTACACTCCACAATTCCCCACTCAGGAAGTCCTGATCCATTCAGCTGCTTACTCAGCATGTGCCCAGTACCAGTAGTGCCTAATCACCACTGAATATGCAGCTCACAGTCAAGGTTTGGCCAGCCCCAGGGCTCGGAGAGTGTGCTGGTAATATATTTCAATACAGGGGCTGAAGGATATTTTGTAGCAAGAGTGCCTAATATTTAGAAGAAAATAAGAACTTGAGCTGTTCTGCCTGATTTATAACTTTCTGTGACAGCCTTTATTTTCTGATGAAGTCAAAACCTGCTTCAGGAATGGACAGCAGCTAATGCTATGGAGTATCAACGGATCAGCAAGATAACCACAACCATGCCTTTCTTATACAAGGCACAGACATAACATCTGTCAACAGCATAGAAACAGGACTCAATTAACCAACGTTCAAACCTGCAACCAGATTTTACTAATAAAATACAAGCCCACCCAATTTGGAGCAGGAGAGAATCTCAGGAAGAACACTTCTGTAATACATCTTTCCCCATTCACAAACTTAAAGAGACTATTTAACAGCACCGCCTAACATTTCTAGAAATACAATACTGTATGAGAATTTTATCAAATCCCTGTAGAATGCTAACATATTCTAACTCTTTAAGTAATAACCCTATTTTTTCAGTGCATAACTGCTGCTCTTTATAGTTTTCATCATTAATCTTTCAGCCATGGAGAGGATTCTGAATGCACAATTATTTAGCATTCTGCCACCAAGTGAGGGCACACAGACAATGCCAGAGCATTAGGATACGAGAGATTATAAGGGCAACATTTTCAAAAGTGAGAAGCAACTCCTGGTGCCTCAAATTCAGGTGCCCAACTTGAGATACTTTTCAGAAGGCAGATGTTCAGCACTTTCTGAAAAATCAGATCCCTTTCAAGTTGTCTCAGAAGTTGGGCATGCAAAAATTAAGGCATTCAAAATTGCTAATCACTTTTGGAAAAATCCGGCATAAGTGACCTACATTAACGAGAAAAATTGGTCTTTTAGAAACTTATTGTACCTTCCAGATGGCCTTTGTGGTTTTGATGTCCAAAGTTTGGTGTCCTTGGGTTCTGAATTAACGTGGAGACTGCTTCAGTCTTTAAATCCAGAATCCATCCTTTTGTAGACATATTATATTTCAAGTGTTACCATTTTTTCACACCATTTGTAGACCAGCAGTAGTAAAGTACAGACTGATATGGTATTTTAAGTGAGAAGCAATATTGATACTGGAAGCTGCAGAGGTTGGTGAAGTTTCTTATGAAGGCAAAGATCCATGTACAGCATGACTGAAGAACTATTAACAGAAGGAAGTGGTACTGATCTCTGGTCCACAGTATCCTACTACCAGAAATTGGAAGACCTCATGTGGGTAGAGTGGTGAATGTTGCTATATTTATTCCCAAAAAAGGGCTAATTAAGCGCAGAAATCACATTATAGTGGCCTTCACAAAGCAGAGACTGGAAATAACTTTATTCAAGCCTATGCAATTTGAAGTAGTTCTTTGCAAATTATGTCAGTAAAAATATCTGCCAAGAAAGTCACAAATAAAACAGAGGCTAATTAGCTGTAACAACTGATTCTTGAGGTCAAGCGAAGTTACACCAGGGATGGATTTAGCCCAGAACGTCCAAATTTATCCACGTGACTCGATAAACTCGGGACAGAGCAAAATGTGTAGATCACCTCACACCTTTGTTCTCACCTATTGCTGAGATGATAGGACTAATGAAACAAGTTATCTTGTTAAAGGGACACCATCCACTTGAAAATAACATTTCTGTCTGAACACTTTGTACCTGCTGCAACACCAAAGACTGCTGTAACTGAAAGAAGTTAGTCAAAAAAATATTTTTCTCCATTTTTCTCCAGGATCTCTCCTTTATTTTTCACTTTGTGGATTTGACAGCGCGTTGTGTACAGTCGGTTCTGTTTCTCCTGTAGTCACAGAGTGGTATTTTGAATAGATTCTAAGTGACTTATGAGAACAAGTCCTATTGGCTATCTAATGGGAATTGTGTTCCTAATTCACTTAGACACTTTTGAAAATTTCATCCTTCCTAGTAGGAGTAATTGTTATTTTCATTGCAGTAGCCCTAAGAGGACTGGGTCACATTGTGCTACGCTCTGTCCCTCATTGTATTAAATTGTATTCAAGTTGTTATTTCACTCCCATCATTGTAATGTAGCAAAGGAAGTATTTCTTCACACAACGCACAGTCAACCTATGGAACTCTTTGCCAGAGGATGTTGTGAAGGCCCAGACTATAACAGGGTTCAGAAAAGAACTAGATAAATTCATGGAGTATAGGCCCATCACTGGCTATTAGCCAGGATGGGCAGCGATGGTGTCCCTCGCCTCTGTTTGCCAGAAACTGGGAATGGGCAACAGGGGATGGATCACTTGATGATTACCTGTTGTGTTCATTCCCACCTGATACACTTGGCATTGACCACTGTTGGAAGATAGGATACTGGGCTAGATGGACCTTTGGTCTGACAAAGTATGGCCGTTCTTACAGTAAAAAGTGTCCCTGTCCCTAGAGCTTACAGTCTAATGCTCCCATCCTGCAGTGGTCCTGTGCAGGTCTAAGAGTCACCACACACAGATCTGATTGCAGGAGCAGGACTTAAATATCAAAGAACAGGAAAGGAACCAAAGGAAAGGTATAGCAGAATACAGCATACAAGCAATAGGGTCAGGGTATTGCAATATCATCAGAAAGCGATTGTTGGCATGTCTGGTATATAGTTTATGGGAGAAAGAGACAATTGCATGGTCAAAAGCAACACAAGAAGACATAGAAGTAGATAAGAAAGGAGCAGCCCAGCTGGTAAAGGACTTTAGGATACCAACAAAGAAGCTTGTGCTTTGTTGTGAAAAAGGGGGAGCAACTGCAAGGATGAAGAAAAGTGATGCGGTGAGTAGAAAAGATGATCTAAGCAGTGGCATTCTGACTAGACTGAAATGGGACAATGCAGGCTACAGGAAGCAAAGAGGAAAAAGATGCAGTAATTAGGACAGCAAGTGACCTGGGCCCCGACAAGAGCTTTAGCTCCTGAGATGATCAGTTATTCTTATTCATTTTTAAATTATGGTAGAGCCCAGAGGACCCGATTATGATAAAGGCCCCATTGTCCTTGGTGCTATATAACTACAAAGTCAGAAATATTCCATGCCCTGGAAATTTTATAACCAAAGTTTCTTCCCAGACTGTATCATTATCCTTTCCACAGAGCACCACCCTCCCTCAGGACACCTGTACATTGTAGCCATCCTGCCAAGGAGGTGAGGAACTGCTTGGGGCCAAAACTGGTGCAGGGGTACAAGGCCTCTGCAGAGATAGCCATGGCCTTCTGTGAAACCTCTGGGAGCCATCACTTTTGGAGACAGATCCCATCGAGGTTCAGTGAGGGAATTTCTGCAAGGGGATATTTCCACCTAAAAAGCCCCACAGGTTTCAGTTCAAAATTAATCCACTTCCTGGGGTTTGGCTTTAACAGTAACTCAAATAATAGCAACACATAAACCTCTCCCTCAGCATGGCTATTCCTCTGAAGAGACTTCTCTGTCTCATACCTTAGTTTCCTACAACCATGGAGCCTCTCTCACCCTTCCTCATGTCCAAGGTAGAATTAACAATTCGCACCAGCCACAATAAGTCAGCAGGACTCTTTCTGCAGGATTCCAAACTTGTTAACAGGTTACACACTGCCCCAGTGCTTTATCAGAAGCTAGATTCTTTTTTTAAATTGGTCAATTAAAAATATTCAAACTGACAGCATCTCTTTAAGTCAAGCTCCGTTCGTAGCAAGTAAGAGTAACTCCATGAATGAATATTGGAAATTAGGTTTCTGTCTCTGTGCTGCAGCATTTTAAGAATATTTTAGGCAAGAATTCCTAGCAACCTTCTGAAAGATTGAGCTTCTCCACTGAAAAAATGAACAGCTTAAAGCATGTAAAAATTTCTAAAAAAAATCCCTACAAAATATTAGTAGCGTTACAGCAATCATGCCAGAGATGATTAGCTCTACATTTACTAAACAAAGCAAACATGCCCAACGTGCACATTTCCAACAGAAAAAAATCCTCATACTTTTATAAATCTTTGTACATGGTTCATTTGATTTTGATTAAAACTAACACATTTTGCGGACGACCTATCAGGAACGTTCACTTCCTAAGTTATCAATGCAGCATTGATCTACTGCACTCTCTCAGTAAAATCATCATCATTCCTGAGGATGCCTCTGAAAAGCTGCCGTCTTATTTTCCATAAGTGAACATACATGCACCCCTTCCCAGTCCATGAAGTTCCCACTGAAATGCATAAGAGATGCAGAATTTGACTAATCCGCTCATTTGCTGCACTCAACAACAAGAAATGTATTCTGCTGATTCACATTCCCACCCGGTGGTTGCTCTAGTTAGTGGAAATTGCCACATTGAGAGTCAATGGACATAGGGTAGATTAGCTGGGCAGCAGCTAAGTAAATAAGCAAATGAAGATATATGTAAGTTATTATTACCTTTGCTCCACAGAGGATGAAAGTAACCTTTGTCCAAAGGCTGATTAAGAATCAAAAGGCAAAACGTCAGGTTTCCTATAAAAAAAAAAGAGAGATGATAGTGCTCATTAACAAGTAAATTGACTTCTCCCCTAATTTTCTTTGCTTTGTTTGCACCCAACATCCCTTCCTATTTAACGTTAGGCTAGAAACTTTGGAGCACACGTCACTAATTGCCCTTCTTCTTAGGTTGCATCATTTCAGATATATAGAGGCAGCCAGAGATTCATTAGAAACATTTTACTTGGTAGTTATTTTAGCAAGTCCTTTTCATTTATAACTGTTGTTCTCTGCTAATGGGCCCCCTGAATAGGACCCCATGTCTGTGCAGCTCTCTTGTTCAAACCTCTGTCTTGCTGTTGCCGTCTGTGCATGACATTTAATGTTATTAGCATTTTGGGGAGTGCATGTGTTCTATTAACAACAGAAGCTGTTGCTATCTCAAGGTAAAGTTCTCCTCTCAGATCTACTCAGAAGATCTAGGCTCTGATTGTATCAGATTGTATACTGCTCTCCTTTCAGGTGCAGTATTCCTGTTGACATCAACAGCATCTGCACCTGTGTGGAGAGTGGATAACGGCAGTCAAGATTTGCTGTGCAGAGCTGGAAGAACTTTGCCTTTAAACTGTTTGTTGACACACTTAGGGAGCACTGTGAAAAAAGTTATACAAGCCAAGAGTTCTGAGAGAGAGAAAAGACTGCAGCTACATTATTCAGCATTACTGTTAATTATTTTTTAGCATTACAGGCATGGATCAGGGCCCCACTGTGCTAGACACTGCACAAACTCAGAACAAAGGGATGTTCCCTGCCTCAAAGAGCGTACAATCGAAGAAAACAACACAGGGAACATACTTGACAAGATATAATTATTTTACCAAAATATATTCTTTTTAGCATATGTCTGTTATCATGTGTACTTGTGGCACCTTAGAGACTAACAAATTTATTAGAGCATCAGCTTTCGTGGGCTACTGCCCACTTCTTCGGATGCATATAGAGTGGAACATATATTGAGGAGATATATATACACACATACAGAGAGCATGAACAGGTGGGAGTTGTCTTACCAACTCTGAGAGGCCAATTAAGTAAGAGAAAAATTTTTTTTGAAGTGATAATCAAGCTAGCCCAGTACAGACAGTTTGATAAGTGTGAGAATACTTACAAGGGGAGATAGATTCAATGTTTGCAAAAAAGTCTCTAAGGTGCCACAAGTACTCCTGTTCTTTTTGCGGATACAGACTAACACGGCTGCTACTCTGAAATCTGTTATCATGGTGATTCCACCGCCTAAATCTCACTCCTGGAAACAGACTATCACCAACACGCAGCCCTGCAAGTCTGCAACTAACCAGTCTGCATTTCCACAGCCTGAAGTGGCTTGTAAGCCCCACCGTCCTTAGACTTTGTCCAACACAAGCGACAAAAATGAACACACAAAATGCAAAAGTTTTAAAATAAATGGATACTTGCTATTCCAGACTGTGGCTCCAGGGAGCAAACGTAACCCCCATGCCTTTTTAGGGTTGCATATGCTGGGAATAGCATTTATTTCGTTTCCTAATTACCTGGAGCTTGATTTCCTTAAGCTATCAAGTTAATGAAGTCTATTTGATCATGTGAAGCCAATGTAATTGCAAGGAGAAATGATCTATCCCTAGAAGGTCTTCCATGCCTCTGAGCACATTTAGTAGAGCAGAAGAAAGAGTCGTGCGGAAGTACGAGGAAACATAAAGGTGAAGAAAATCTCTGCAATGTGCATGAAAATCTTGGCAAAACAAGAAGGAGTTGTATAAGTTGAGCCACAAATGAATGTGCATGACAGGTAGCAACCTGCAATCTACTAAAAACTACATCAGTCTTATTGTAGGGCATATCAGACCATGAATGTACAAACACAAAACTTTTCACATGAATATCATTATATGCTGTGATGGGGCATTGGAATGATATGCTGGAAGAATCACATGCTCACCTCCAATGGGGAAGCCATTATTGAGATAAGCGCACTATAGCTCTGCTATAAATGAGAAGCTGTAGCCTGGCTCCTGCTTGACTCAATGAAGAAGACGATCAGAAGAGAGGTCAGCAAAGCATAAGATTCAATACTCACTTATCTTTTATTGCAAACATCTGAACTGGGGGGTCGTAGGCTTGTACTTACTTACATATACCATGGGTGTCATTACAGTCTTGGCTTTTACCTCATCACAGTACTTTCTGATGGGTGGTGTTATGCAGAACCTAAACTGCTGAGCGTGATGAGGACTGCTCCCCATTTCAGCACTTTGTTGACGTTGCTCTACTCTTCTGCCCATTCCCTCTACAATCTGCAGTAGGGTAGAAGCTAACACCAAATATATATGGTCAGAGAAGAGTTGAGGAGACCACAATAAATAAATGAGAGGTGGGTGTGGAACTCTCTTCCATCCTGAGTTTGAACGTGTTTTTACCTTGTACTTGAACTGACAGAGACAAATAGGAACAATACAGCCGGGAACGGCGAACCGCAGCCACGGGGAGCTGCGGAGGGCCGTGACTGCGGATGGTCAACGTCAACAAAATGTCTTGCGGCCCGCAATCAGATTACTCTGATGGGCCACCTGCGGCCCAAGGGCCGCAGGTAGCCCACTACTGCTTCAAACCACAGCAAGTGAAAAATGACTAAAGTTTAACATTTGTGCCACCAAAGCAAGCACAAACATCAACATTGCTCATTGTACTGATATACAACTAACCGAAAAGGGCCAGATCCTCAGCAGGCATAAATTGATAGTGAAGTGTAAACTGGAGCTACAACAATTTACACTCACTGAGAATCTTGACTAAAAATGGCTATTAATAAAATGGAGATTTCTGATAAATGTGAAGACCGGAGAGAAACTTCAGCTAGTACAATCTACAGCAGCCCTCTTGCTAATCAAGAAAGATTGTTAAGAGTAAACTACAGCATTGCTCCATGCGCTCTACTGGCTTCTCATTTGAAAAAAATCCACTTCCAGGTCTCCATCTTTAAAATCTCTTAATAAGTTAAGAAGAATCTATCTCATGGCTGTCTGTCCATCCATTACTCAAGAAGGCAATTAGTACGAGCTGAAGGTTAACCAAACTGGGCTGTGCTGGACTAACAGGGGAAGAAAATCCCATAGTCAAGGGTCCAGCAGGGAAAATAACTTGCCGGCAATCCCTTGATATGGAGATCTCCCCTGAGAGGACACGTATTGACCTCAATTGCTGCTGAGGTGCACAGTGAGAGAGTTGGTCCATCACGTAGCTTCTTACAGTTTTAGTGCAATTCTGTCTTTTATTATGTACTTTTCTTGTGGACTTTATTATTGCAGACTGTACAAATCAAGCCATCTGTAGCGTGAGGAGTAAAAAAATAAATACTTGCATACAACATAAAGCTTAAAATGTAAGTTGCTCAGTTTATTTTGCTCCTTATGGCATACACAAAAAAGAAAAGGACCAAAAGGACAATGCCAGTCCCTTCATAATCTCAGGAAACTGATTCAGTGGGATTTCACACTTGATTCCTAATTTTGGTTTTGCCTTCTGATTTTTAAAAGACCTCCATCTATTTAACCAACTACATGTTTGTTTGTTAATTTCCAATCATATCCAAGTTTTCCTATTTGCTGCTTATAGATCCTTACCCACTTTTTTGTGACAGTACATACCATTTTCAAACACTGTCCTCCATATTTATGGGCATAGTTTCTGGGCACAAATTATTATAGGTGCACAAATGTGTCACAGTCAGTTATACCCATAAAACTACAGGTATAAACATGGGGAGACAGTTCAGGCAGAACTGATCTTTTGGCTCACACTGTTTTGTTAGGTCTTCCTAAAGGAACTTGCAATCCTTAGTCTTGAATAACCTGATAATTTTTATGTCGACAACAAAGTATGATTTCTATTCACTCTCTTTTCTAGATTGCAAACAAGTATGTTAAACAACAATTATCGTATTTACCCCAGCATACTCCCACTTAACTATTAACCCCTTTCAATTCTGAAAATTGGTCCCATATCTGTCCTCTTTGCTTTCTAACACTTACCCAGTATTACTCCTCCTCTGAGTTTTCTTAGTAGCTGCTTGTAAATGACTTAATCAACTTTTGAATCTCTATACAAATTATATCTAATATTTTGCCTCTATGCATTATTTAATTCTTTCAAAAGAATTCCAGTGTGTTTGAGGGACACAAATTTACTATTATAAAAGCCTTTCTGGCCTATCCCTATTATCTTACACTCACCTAGGTGCACTATAAATATTTATAATATCATTATACATTTTTTATAGATTGTCCCTTGCTATACACCAGTCAGCAGGCTATATGGCTCTCACAAAATCAGCATATATATTTTTAAATATCAGCTTTGTCTGAGATCTACCATAACATATAACCCTTCCTTATTTCCCTTGGGTGTCAGAAAAATATCTTAAATTACCTTACATACTATGAGTTTCTTTTCTATGTGTTTTGAGGCTAGAAAAAGTCTTTATTACATCAAATGAAAAGGCCTTTGGGGAAGACACGTACTACGCTTGTTCTTAGCGGAATGATGTAAGCAGTAAGATACAATAGGGCATGTGTTGTGCTAAGATATTGCCATGCCTCTGGGTGCTACTGAAGTATGAATCCAAAGGCTGAGCAACTTCAACCATACAAATGGTCTCCTGTCAACCAATAATATTTACATTTTATTGCTTGCCTGAAGAACAACCATTTCTTTACCATTCCCAGTGATCTGATGAGTGGTGTTCTAAAGGGGGGAAGAGGAGAGGAAAAAGGAGAAGAGATGCTCATTTCCATGGAAAGAGGAAATTTTACCTTCTAGCAAAATACTGTATGAGTCTAAACAGAAAGTTGCAAAGTAAAAGGAAATAAGATATAAAAAAATAAAAATATTTCCTCCCACCCTGTAAAAGGATATTTCAGGGATCTGGATCATACCAAGATAGATGGAAGTCCAAATCAGGCTGATTTCTGTGCCCCTCATGAAAGACTCTTAAACAAAGT